TAGCACAGATAATGTGGATAATGGATCTGTTGTCCAAAAAGCCAAACAGGACTGGAAGAAGAGATGCAGAAGACACCGATCCATCCAGTCTGTAAGAAAAGGACTGTTAACATGCAATCTACTGAACATAATAGTGTGGCTTTTTTTCTTTATTCTACACTAAGATCTGGTGGCTCCAACCTCAAAAAACTAAGTGTAAAAGTAGAAAGAGTTCAGGTATAGACGGCAATTACGGAAAGCATGGGCAGACTTCATACAAGAGAAAAAGTTAAGAGACTCAAATTACTTATTTTGTAACATAGATCTGTGTACAAAATAGCACATTCTATGAAACAGCATAGTCGGTCACAAGAGTTGGGGAACGTTCAGCGAAAGCCAGAGGTACTATATTTAAATTCCTGGTATTCTTTGTTGTGTTCTATTTTATTATTTTAGTTCATTTCAATTAGTTCAGACAGTAAATCCGATTGATTAAAGGCTTTCAGTGAACAAGGGCTCAATGTGAAGCAGAGGCATGCGAGTACAAAGTCTGCTCACACCCAAGAATAAAAATGAGGAGATTCTTTCTTTAAAAACAACACTTGTTAGCTGGAAGAAGCTGTGGTGGTGTGGAGGGAGGGCTGTGCGGTGGTGCAGCCGCTCTGCTGCGTGCTGGGGAGTGAGCACAGCTCTGGGGAGGAGGAGGAGGGCCACCACCTGTACCTCGGCTCTGGTCTGAAGCACAGCTTTCCTTCAGGACTTCACAGCAGATCAAGCAAAAGACGTCTTTGATAGTAATCTGTAAAAATTCTTGGGCCGGTTTACGCACATCATGAAGCCAATTCTAATTCCGTTGCTTGTTGTCTCTGGTAAATGAGTGCAGGTGGAGCAATGTAACCAACCAGTGTGATGACTGTCGAGGTACCAATGGGAGCTGTGATCTAGAAGGTCATGATTATGTATAATACTTATGACAGGCCAAGTACAGCCAAGTTCTTAAAATAAACTATTGTATAACTGTGTCATTATGCATGTAACCTGAGGAGGAAATGAGTTACCCATTGAAATCAGAACACGCATATTACAAATCACAGATTTATCAAAAGAAATAAGACAGTCACTCTAACTTCTGATACAGGAAAATTAGATAGTTTATTGTTTAATGCTTGCTATATAATCATGAGTTTTGCTCGTATGCTGGTTTATAGAATAACTGTTTTCTTCAACACGAGCAAGTTAAGGAGGGGAAGTTAGGGAAAACTTTTTTTTCTCTCTTTTTTTTTTTTAATAGCAAGAAACTTGCAACAAATGACTCCATAGTAATTTACCTATAATGGAAAAGGAACAGATTTATTTTCTTATCAGTCATTAATTTAAAAAAATATTTTATCTTGAAGTGCAAGGAGCCTAATAAAAATTGACGCAAAGTATTTATATTTAAATGGCTTATTATTTTGAAGGGTACAATAATATTACATCAGGAGATATTAATGTATTTTACATCTCTTCCAGATCTGTGTCTAACTGGTGCTTTAATAGCTTTTATTATTCTTGATGGAATTCTTAAAGAACTGCTGGAGAAATCTATTCACAGACACAGGAAAAAAATTCTGCATTAATTTAACTTTATATTGGCTTAAGCTTAACAAGATGACTTATTAAGGCCAGCTGATAAACCATTTCTGAACAGAAGGGGGAAAAGAGTTACTGAAGAAGTATGGAAGCAAAGTACAAAAATGGGGTAAAGATGTCAAACCACCACACCCAAAAAGACCTTAGGAAGTCAGACTTTGAGAGTATTCAACAGAGCATAGGAAAGGATCAGTAATTCAGTGGTGAAGAACTTATGGGCAGGACTATTTAAGAGAGTGAGGGATTTAAGATCTTATCTGCAAGCAAATACATTCATCAGAATTATTTAAAATAGTAAAACTGGCCATGAAAGTGCTTTTTATGGGTTTTAGTAAATGTACAGAAAAATTCTAAATAAAATTCCTAGCTAAACTGTACAACTTGAACTTTGGAATCTTATACAAATTCCAAGGAATACGTAGGGTTTTTTTATACCAAATATTTCACTTTTTATCTCTTGTACAAGAAATCTGAGTTTGGAGTCTGCTATGTTATTGCTTTAGTCCTACCTTGATTTCTGTAATTCAGCTACATGCAGGGTCTGTTTGACAGCAGCTTTAAAAATCTTGTAATAAGTCTTAATAATAAAGTCTAATGCTGGACTTGCATTCAAATTTACCAGAATGCACTGAAACCAGGTCATTAATCTAAACCAATGAGAGGTTTAAAAGTCCTTGATACTTCCTTTGCTGTGAATAAGAAACAGGTTTCATCCCACCTAACCCTCTCAGCCTACAAAGTGTTAGTTCTCCAGTCTAATATAGTTAATAGTTAAACATGCCCATGAAAGAAAGTTCCCCAAAGCTGCAAAGTTGTGTAATTTCTATGAAATATAGAGATTTGCTCTTGCTGTACTTACTTTCATATGCTTTGGAAGGATAAAATGTTACAGACAAAACTTCCTACTATCATGTCCCCACTTAACATGTTTTTCAGGCAACTGGTTATAGTTGGGAGTAACTTCTTTGTCCCAGTTTTCTTAGATCTTAATCAGCTGAAGCTCCTGAAGGTCACTGTAATTTTTTTTTAAAGGAAAAAACCTGAAGATCTAGAAACTGAAAATGTATTTAATTATGGATAAAGCTTTGGTAGGACTTAACTCATCAAGGTAAAATTTTAGACATCACAGTTAAAAAATTGGGGGACTTACAAATTCATTTGTGCTTTCCTGTTGTCTCCATCAGTATTTATAAAATACATGAAGGATTGTCAAATTTATCTTGCATTTTAGGCTTGACAAAGAAATATATGCAATTCAATTTGATCATACTTTGATACCTTTAATTTGAAATTTGATGAAGATAGTATGTGTTAATTAGGCACCAGTAAAAATATGGATGCAGAATTATGCACTTCATGCAGAGCAGCTGTCAGCTATTGCCACTGACATAAGTAATTTTCATTTGCACTTTTTGCTTTTTGTACTGTGGTCATTGGATTCAATATTGACTTTTGAATTACAGCATAAATAGGAATGAAATACTTTTCACATTTTTTTTTCCCTGCTGTTGTTCACTGTTTGCAAGTTTTTAATTGTAAAAGATGCTGTAGATGGAGTTTTTCTTCTTAGCACTGCTGTCCTATTTTCCCATGATATCCCCTGGGGATCTAACATGGGTTTAAGTAAGTCCATTTTTTCTCGACTGACAGAACAAATGTTCAGATGCTTTAAAATTTAAAGAGCAAAATGTAGGGATGGGTAAATCAGTTTAGAAGAGGTAGGAAAATCCCATTCAAATAAAATAGCCTTCTTTTTGTTTGTTTGCTTGCTTGCTTCTGGGTTGTTTTTGTTTGCCTTTAATTTCCTGTAATGATGTTACATTTTGCAAGCTAGGCATTCTCAACATCCTTCATTATATATAAAAGGAAAGACCTCCATGTATCACCAAGGTCTTGCAACCAGTAGGGAGAATTATGTGTGAACTGTGCCAGTGAATGTACCTATGTGCATAAGACCTTTTGTATGAAAATTATTTTCATGGTATGCAGTTTAATGTTCATTAATATTTATGAGGTAACGTAGTTGCTCTGTGTATATTAAAGGATATTCTACTTTTCAAGGACATTTCTTGTTTAAAAAGAGTGATTAGAGAGCTACCATAGTAAAATGTTTTGTAACTATTACAAAGCAGTTCAGAAAGTCCAAAAGTGAGTTGCTAGAGATATTTACATGTACTTTATGTTCTATTTATTTTTAAATGGCTTATATAGAAAAAATAGAGTAAGAGCTGTCGTTAAAGTTTAGTGTGGCATTGTGCCTAAGGGTTGACTCCTTCAAGTGGTCTAAAATCCATATTCTTGCATGGAGAAACTTGAAATTTGCACTAAGTAGCGTTACTGATTCATAACTGGTGTCATTTGGGTTTGGGGATAAAAAAAGTCAAAGATATGGTGTTTTAGAATGACATTTCACCGAGTCCTGGTCCCAACTTTGTTGCATCCATCAAGGGCGCAAACTACAGTTCTCGTGTCTCCAAGTCCTTTCAGGGGCTCGGCAGTAGTGTTCCTAGTTGGGAGTGAGTGTTCCCCAAAGCGGGCTCTCGGGGATTTGGCCCGTGCCATGCCAACCTGGGGTGCGTTTGGGATTACCTGTCGAGCTGCAGCTGCCCCCCGGCTGCAGGTGGGTGGTGGCTGGGAAGATGTGGAGAAAGGGCGGCGGCAGCAGCTGGGAGCGCGCGGGGTCAGCACGTCCCCGTGTCCTCCCCGCTGCATCTGAGCTCATGTCCAGGATTTCCCCTCAGTTTGAGGTTTGTGGTCCCCGCGCCCACCCCACGCTTGCATCTCCTCAGGGGTCGAGCCTAACACCTTGAATTCCTCTAGGAAATCACTGTGTCTGTGTAAGTTTCTGACTTCTCGTGTCGTCTGCGATATTCATGCCTGCACGGAGTTTGCTAGTGTGTGGTTCTGCACCCCCGGGGTGCCAGCCACAGCCCCCTTGCTCCGAGGAGGACGGGGGGGGACTGGTTGTACCCCTCGACAGTTGGGACCCGTCGCTGCCTCCCCTCAGTGCACGCTGTGAGCTGGTAGGGTCAAACGCGGAGGAGAGGCGAGGAGCAAGCTGAGAAATAAAAGAAGCAGCCGAGAAAATTGAGTAGGCAGGGACTGGAGGTTGGCTGAGCTGCCGGGCCGCGGGGACTGCCCCAGCCCCGCCGAAAATACAAGTATCCCGGCGGCGTTGCCCTCGCCCGGTCGCTTCGGCGGGGCCGTAGCGTCAACCTGAGGCAGGCAGGGAGCAGCCGCGGGTGCCGTGGGGCCGCCTCTCCCTCAGCCGCGGCCCGCCCGGCGCCGGCGGGAGCAGCCGGTAAGCGCGGCGTGTGGGGGGGCCGGCCCGGGCAGCGAGGCGGGCGCTGCTTGTCTGAGCACGGGGGGCGGCTCCCCGGCCACGGCCATCCCCCCCCGCCCCGGCTCCTTTACCCCCGCCCGCCCCTGGGAAACGCGGCCCCGCCGAGCCCGGGCGGAGGTGGCGGCAGCCGGGTGTGAGGGGAGCGCCGTCCCCTCACAGCTTCCCGCCCCGAGACAGGTAGGCACCGCCCGGGATGCGTGTGTGTGGGGGGGTTCTCGCCCCGCGGAACAGGCGGAGGTTCGAGGGACCGGCTCTGCTCCGGGGAGAGGGCGGGGGGGATCATCGGTGGCTGATTCCCCCCTTTGCACGGTGGCAGGTGAAATGCGGAGTCGAGCCGGGGGTGGGGGGGAACTTAGGCAAGGGAATCCCCCTGGAAACCCGTGAAGCTGCCTGCGAGCGGGCTGCCCGTCAGCCCTGGGAGTTCGGCGGCGGAGTTTCGTTCGCCCGGCGGGGCGGGCAGCGTTGTCCCACAGCCGGGGGCGGCGGCGGGTAGGGACAGGAGATGCTGCTTGTCTGGAAGAGGAACCTTCTTGGCTTCGCTGCTAGCCGGGGATTGGAGCGGTGAAATGGCGCGTTTGGGGCGGGTGAGGGGGGTGCGTGGCTGTGGGGAGGTGGCGAAGGGGAGGGCGCGGGGTGGGCTGGGCGGGCAGGTACTCGGGTGGCCCCGGTGCAGCATGACTTTTTTTTTTTTTTTTTGCACAGAAGGAAGAGGGCAGGAAAGCAGAAGTCAGCAAAGAAGTAGGGAATGCTAAATCCTCACTCGGAGCTGAGCGACCTTCCCTCGCATGACTCTGCGAGCGGCAGGGCGAGGTAGGAGAGGGGAAAGGGATCGGAGTAGGAATAGCAGGAAAGTGCTTCCCGAGGGTCCCATGGAGGAGTAAAAGCTGTGGGAAATTCAGTCAGCTGCTGGTGAGCTGCTGGCAGGCTTAGTCCAAAACACCTGTGTAAGTAGGCCTTGCTCTTTAACACAGGTGGAGTCACAAAACCTCCCAGCAAGTAACTGAAGGAACCACTGAATTTGTTCTTTGCCTAAAAGTTTTTACATCCTTTCCTTTTTTTAGATCTTCCTTTCCTGTGGTCTTGGCTCTGTTTAACTCCTCAGAATAACCTGCGTTGTTGAAGGGAGTCTTTGTCAGAGAGGAAAAAAAAAAGGTCCTCAAAGACAAATGCTATCTTTGTTTAAATCTATTTGTGGATCAAGGTTGTGACTTAACTGTGAAATAGCATGGCTCTTTGCTTATATTAAAAACACAATAACACATTAAAATAATCAAAGTCTTTGGAGGTAACTAGGCTGAAATGCAATTCAGCAGTGTGAGACTAATGTAGGTTTTACAGTACCTCATCTCTCTTGTGAATAAATATATAATTAGTGGTGGGCCTTTTTGCAGCTTTTTGTGGTTTATTTGAAGAAGCATTTCAGGCAAGAGGTTATAATTGATAACACTTTCAATCTTTACCACTTTCTTCATGAGGCCTGTAGCTATGTCTTTAGGTGTTTATGTTTGTTATTGTATGCTATGTTATTTTATTGGTACAGAATGTTATTTTTAAACCCACTGTGTGTTGGTGAGTGGATTAGATTTCCTGTGGACCTGTCTGAATTAGAGTTGTGATTGCCTAATTGCCCATGATTGTGACGAATGAGAATCAATAAACAGCATAGTCCTAGTCTCCTGTTCCTCTTATAATACCTTTGTATCACCTAGCACAGCATGGCCTTAATCTGGTTGTCATTGTGGAACAAATAATAGAGAATAGCACCCAGCACTGTTATACCTGAGGGAGTATGTAGACAAAGCAGCAGGGCTGTTGCCTGCTCTACCTGGAGCATGGTCTTTGGGCTCAGTAAGGTGCTGATGAACACCCCATCTCCTGTCTGCGGTGGAAAATGGGGAGCACTTCCACATCCAGCAGCTCGGGTGTAATAGGAGACAGTAAGAAAGTGGGTTAAAGTACGAATCCACCCTTTCTAAGTTTCTGTTCTGTTTAAAACTTGCAGCTACAATTTCTGGAGTACCTGCTGTTAAATTTTTGGATCCGTTGCTGGATACCACCGTAGAGTTTTCAGGCTTGGGTATGGATGTGGGTGGATGCTAGCAGGTCCTCAGCATCTCTGAAATGTAGTGAGTTTTAAACAGACATGTATGCATTTCATAGCTCCAAGACACTGAAGTCCCAGCTGTCCTCCTGGATGTCATAGGACATTAACTTTGTCCATATCTTCTATATTAAAAATCCAAGGACTCCAGTTAGGCCAAATATGTTAATCCCCCAGAAATCAAATGAGAGCATAAACCTGAAACAGAGATGTCATCAGTGCTCAATTCCTTGCAGTGGCAGGAGGGGGTGAGCAGGTTAGCTGATTCACAGTTAGGAGATCCCCTCCTGGTCTTGTAGAAAAAGGCAAAATGGCCTCAAAAGGCCCTTGCTGAATAGGGTCAACACTTTTCCCGGTCCCAAATTTGATGACCCATGTGATCTTGCATATATTAGGTATAAGTAGCACTCGGGAATTTGCAATGATTTTCTGCAGCACCTTGGAACTACAGTGTAGCTTTGGTATTTCTTCTCTAGCCACAGTTGGTCTGATGGTTTAGAAGAATTAAGCTGAAAAAAGTAGCAGCTGAATTTGGGTAGCCAGGCTTGAAGACTCGCCAAATGCAGCATTATTCCTGTGTACCTTTTCCAGATGTTTTACTGTAAACTAGAGTTAAAAGCCAGTGAAGATATGGCTGAGAGTCAGAGCCATCTGACAAATTTTTTACATTGATTCTGACTAGGTCTTTTGTTAGTCCTTGTTTTATCCCACAGCACTTATGCTTTCCTCTGCTGTTAGGTCCAGAAAAAGTAATTTTTAATTTCTGCAAGCTGATTATGTCCTGCCTCTGCCCCAGCTCTTCTCTTTTCCCCCACACTTCTGCTTCTCTGTCTCTCAGCTGAGGTTATTCAAGCTTTCTGTTTTCCTTTAGCTTAGAAATTTCCCAGATGTTGTAATCCCTGGGTTACTTCTTAGAAACCCCCCACTCAGAAATAGCCCTGGCTCTTTCTCATTGTGGGCTGCTTGCAGCTGGTGGCCACAGCAATTTCTGAGTAGTTTGTGTCTCGAAAATAATACTTCTCCTTGCCCTGTGTTCCTGGAGTGGGTGGACCTGCAGCTTTTTAGCCCTTTAGGATGTGCCCCAGGTGAGGTATCTGTAGGGCGTCCGGGATGGGAGGAAGGCGGAGGGCTGGGAGATGTGGTGCTCCTTCTCTAAATCAGCCAAGAGCGGTCCAATGAAGAGAAAGTGAATTATACAAGAGGCTCCAATGGCTTGATCGATCAAATTTCTGTCTTAAGTTTCATTGGCAGACTTCAATTTCGCTGCTTCTGAGGTCAGACTGTAATGTTGGGGAGTTTGACGAGCATTTGCTGTGTAATAGAACTGTGAGTTTCTGGAGAAGCCCCTCAGAGCCCCAGCGTGACGTAGGTCTTCCCACCAAACTAGTTTTTGATTAATTAAAAAAGTGTGCACCCTAGATAGTGTGAACTCTTTGATAAGGATAGTAGAGACAAGTTATTTATCTTCAGCCTTTTAATACTTTTTTTTTTGACCTTTGCTTATTTCTTCAGTGTTAGTTATTCATGTCTCTTGTATATCCGAAACATCTTTGTTGAAACCGACAGGAGGATCATTGCTCTATTTTCTAACTTCTCAATCTTGTCCTAATCAAAAATGTAAATACATACCTACTGATTTGCATATCATTAACTTCAGAAAAACACTGTCATGCTAAAGTCAATGTTTTTTGGAATCTAATTTTCCTGCCTGCCTGACAAGTAGCACCTAGAATTCACAAACCAAGAATTCTGAAAATATAAACTACTTTCAGCACTGCTGTTTTCTTTCTGCGTTTTTCAGTTCAGCCAGGGAAAGTGATGGTGATTTTTCTAACCAGTTTCTCTTTTCAGTATTCGTACTTCAATAAAAAGCCTCATTTCTTTTTTTTTTTTTTTTAATTATTTAAAAATGAACAAATTTACAATGGTATATGCTTAGACGCAACTTGCCAGCACTGATCTCATCGTCGTGATCATTTATGAACACAGCATCTAAAATATTCCAGGTATTTCAGGGCAAGTACCTACACATGTGGACAGGAACCTGCAGATTTTGAGGAATACATGGAAACCAGGAGAAAATGTCATTGGGCCTAGGGTAGCAGTGTAGCTGACCCTGGATTGCAGTTTCCCTAGCACCGAGCTTTGTGTATGAACTGAAAGATCAGGCTGCGAGTCTCTGTATGGAGCAATCAGTAGACAAGGATATGACACAGGCGCTTTGCCAGCAGTTTACACAAGTGGTTTTGCTTGATGGCAGAGATGCTGAGAATAAAAATTCTTGGGTTCTTGGTTGGTTGTGGAGATGATTGTCACTGACATTTCAGAGGTGCTGAGTATGAGTATTGAAACAGTTGTTCTATCTTTAAGAATAAGCAGAGGAGATTTAGTTAATGTTAAAAACCTAGGGTCTGAAATGAGCCCTTGATATTCATCGTTTGCCCAGAACTTGGGTCTTGTTTTAATAGGCTGCCTTCAAGTCATTGAGTCTGTAAGCCAGCACAGGGTTACTTTGGATCAGGTGCTATAGTGTATAAGGGCTAACCCTATCTGAAAGTGCTCAGTCTTTGAAAAAGGAGATTATCAGCAGTACTGCTAATAGTGTGCTGCTGGAGTGCATTATACTGTTGGTTAGAAATGCACGTTCTGGACCACTTAGGAGCAAACAGAAAGTGCTACTGTTATCGATGATTCAATATAGCAGCTTTAACCTGCCTTTTCTTTCAGGAAGGAGGGGAAAACAGGGTACAACATTTCTGTTGATACGAATAAAGACCTACTTCTAAAGGGTGAGATAAAACAAGGCAAACCGTGGATCAGATTTAAGTTTAAATTATATTTGAAATAGCATTTTGATTTTCTTTGTTATGACACATTTAGCATATGGCTCTATCTGAAGTTTGAGACACAGTAGCTGTATTTCATGCTCAACATTGTTTCTAATAAGTTTCTATATTAGAAGTAAACAGTATATGATCTCTCACTTAAAAAAAAAACCCAACCAAACAAACCTTGTTTTTGGAAACCCACTAAGTTTTTAAAAACCAGCTAGGCTACTGTGGTCTTTTTAATGGAAAGAAGCATGGGAGAGCAGTGTACCCACATTCACTCCTGAGCGTTTATTTTTCACTGTGTAGGGGGGCTGTTGTAGCTAATGGGGAAATGTCCATTGTGCTCAGTGGAGTGAGTGTGCTGTGAGGATCTTGATAGCTCTGCATGGCTGAGCAAGAGGATGCTTAATGAGGGGATGCTGAATGATGCACTAAGTGTTGTGCCAACACCTTCTTAGAGGCACCAGAGACCATGCCTTTACAATTAAATAAAATAGGCCAGTGGCTGTTCTCCATTCCTGAGGCCAAATGTGTGGCACAGCTCCCTCCCACACACCTGAGCTCGCTTTCTTTCCAAAACAGACTGGCAGCGACCAGTCTGTCTGTTGGGGATGGAGCCTGGGCTCTCTGAGCACCCGAGCTGTGCCTGTTCACTCGCTCTCTGGGATCCCGGGGCGAGCAGGCAATTAAGCTTCATAAACAATCTCTGGCCTATTTTGTTTACTAGTAAAGATGTAGCCATAATGTTCAAGACCTTTGGTGTCATTCTTCTGAAATTGTTATTGCACTTTCATGTAGAAGGAGTTGCTGTATATAATTGATTTAAACCATTTCATTCCTATGTTTGGATTCTGAATGTCTCTGATTTAGGTTTTGGTGACACCGTTATACTTAGCCACGTACACCGATTCATCGTTGCAATTTCAGATTCATAGTGCACATGTGCTTTTTGTTTAATTAATCTTTACTGACAAAATATCAGCAGCAGAGTGAGTACTTGACAAAATTTGAGAACTGTGATGAGGATTCAGTCATTATGGAAATACAGTTCTGGGACTAACATTCTTTCAATTACAAACAGAGGATATTTACTCTGAGTAAATTTTGAAAGTGAACCTCAGAAAACCAGTTAGTTGAACGGTATTTTTGTGTTCAACACTGAGACTGTGAAGCTATGGAATCAGCAGTTTAAGCTATAAATTTAAAGTTTAATCACCACAGTCTAACAGAGAATATGTTCAACAATCCTTATTCTTATTATCAGGATACTCCTCCTTTAATTTGTGTTAACACTGGAATATAAATATTTTAAATCATCCAACAGTTCCACCATCATGACTTTTACCTGGGGATGCAAGAAGAGGCTGTGTGTCTTGAATAGTTTGTGACTTCTTTGGGTCATCCTTTCACTTTGTTAAGTCTCAGGTAGGGAGATCTGTTTCTGCATCATTTACAGCTAATGGTCACTGATGGGTTGTACCAGCTGGAATGAAGCCCAACTAGAGCAATGAGGGGAAAAAAGGGTAGGTGAGAAAAACAAAGAAAGATGATAGATATTAAAGCAGCAGAGATGGAGAGAAATAACCAAGAATGAAGCCTATCACAGTTAAAATGTTGCATTATGATAATCATAAACAGGGAGAAAGTGTTTGACCTTCGTGTGGGACATATGCATAAAAATAATCAGTAGAAAAGGCAGCAAAAGTGTTAGAAAAAGTCCTTAAAATGCCATGTATTTAATCCTTCTGGTAGAAGAATCTCTGTTGCTGGTGAAAACTAACGTCTTTGTTTCCCACCCTGTAAGAAATGTAAAATTCTTTTCCAAATTTAGCTTTACTTCTTATACACTCTTTGGCTCTCTGCCTTTCTGGTTGAACTGGTGTTCAGTTTTTTCATTAAGCTGCAAAAGTTGCAGTCAGCCAATTTTGCAGCTGAAAGTCTGTGATGTTGACTTAGGTCTAAAAGACTCAAAGTTACTTGCCCCTTCTTGGGAAACATTTGAAGTGTCTCCTCTCAGAACTTTTTTAGTAGGAAATCTGGACCGGTTGTCTTGGTAGCTTAAGTTGTCACTGACAGTGCGTTATGTATGGGCTCCAATCTAATTTTTAACCAAAATGTAGGCTATAATTAAAATAGGCATATCATTAAAGAATTTGAGATAAGACTTTTCGGGGTACAAAAAGATGTCTTTGTAATGAGAAAAGCCTGTGCTCAGATCCCATCAACCTATTTTAAAAGAAGGGCTGATTGCAGAAACTGTGATGTGTGGTTGGCTGTTAGTGAATGACATTGATGTTCCTCATACGCGTATTTTGAAAGCAGCTTTTCCAGTGAAAGAGAGTAATGTGAATAGGGTGTGTCACTGGAAACCATGTTGCATTTCGGTTAACGGGCATCTTTTGGTTAAAATTGTCATGTTTTCTCATTTCCCCACTATTTTCAAATGTTTTGTTGATAGCTGTAACATACAGAGATTTTTTTAAATTAATCAAAAAGAGCGCACTGAGTTCCTCCACCATGTAATGCCCCTTATGAAATTGTGAAACTGAAGGGATTCCCATGAGAGCCATTCCTCTCTGCCACGCCGCAAGCGGGGAGGAGGAGTCAGACGCCTGCTGCTCCCACTCACCTCTTCTCTGGAGAGGGGCTTTCAAAAGGCCTGATTTGATGAAAAATTGAGTGTAATAAAACTTCTGCCACTTGCCAGCCTTTGGGTTACTCCCAGGACATGCCCTTAGGGATTTGTTGGTAGCAGTAAAAGTAAATTTTAAACTGTCAGGTAACTGACCTGTGGAAATCTTTCACTGGCTCTTTTAGACCAGCTACTTTCCAATTAGATTCCCATACAGCATGCCATCGCTGTAGCAAGCTCAGTAATTTGGCCCATTAATTTAGTCTAGCACGTGTACATGTTTGTAGCCATTATTTCTGAAAATAGATTTTCAAGTGCACTATAAATGATTGTAGTTCTTTGAAATGTTATGTCTCTCTTAAATGATATCGATCTAATTAGACAATACTCTCATAGGACATGACTTTGGTGTAGTCTATTGTTACTAGTTTTGTTATTATACATTACTTTAACAAGACTGCAGAATGACCGTGCCATCAGTGCTGTGGACTGTACAATTTCTGTCTTCTCCAGGAAAGATTAAGATAGGATTTTCTGAAGCCTATTATAGCCTGAAAAACCTAAGCAGGAAGATGGTACCCTTTCCTACTACTGATAGTCACATATCTTTTGTTACCCATTGTCTGTTCCTAGGAATAATAAAAAGAAATGTGACTGCTGGCCAATTTTTCTTTTTTTTTAACCTTATCCTTGGTTGCTTTATGTATTTTTCAGTAAGAATGTCTTGTATTAACTCCCAGAAGCTGCAATTGCTGTGGGAGCAACAAAAGTTGATGTGTACCCAAAGACCTAGTTCAGCTTAGTACTAGCATGTACTGATACACTGTTCAGATTAGACCTGAAAAAGTTGAAAAGTTTAAAATGAAATGGCAATGTTTTTTGGTAGACAAGGCTTGTCTGCTGCAGGCAATTGCAGCTCATAAGCATGTAATTCATATTAGGATCAGCAAGATGTGTCAGCTGTGGGCTCCTGAGAGGAGAGATCTAGAAGAGGACTCAAGTGAAGAGACACCTTGTTTTTTTTCCACTGCCTGCTATCATAATGAAGGAGGGCAGGAACCAAGGCAAAATTGTGGCCTTCACTGAATGGCTTACAGGACCTTACTGCTTTGAAATACATTTAATTAAGGGTTGGTTTCATTTCACCTAACTTTAGTGGTTTGAGTGCCTTCGGTGGTGAATAGAGATTGGCCCTACTGGAGGGCCCTTCTTCCCATGAGGCTCAGCCATCTTTGCAAGAGTGAATTTCTCTTTCCTGCCTGAGCTCGCAGAGGTGGTCGCTTGCCAGGGATGGCAGACCTGGCTTCTGGATCCCGTAAAAGTCATCATTTGTGCTCCGGTGACTCTGGCTTGAGCGGGGAGGACTGAGGAGCTGCCAGGTGGAAGGCTGGCAGCTCTGCTCTCCGTCCTCTCTAAAATGGGCCTGAAACCTGCTTGGGAAGTCAACAGCCCACAGAAATTTAACGTTTTTCCCATTTCTCACTTTCAGCCCTGTTACATCTGCTTTGATCCACCCACTCCCCATCGGAAAGCACAAGCGGAGCAGGGTGCCAGCTGCTGTGCGACCTCGTGTCCGAGAGCGGAGCTGTAAGGTCGTACGTGAGGGGAGAGCGATCTCAAGGTCAGCACTAAATATCTCTCCTGGCCTTTCACCCCACAGAAGTTGTCTCGCACCTCTGGACACTGTTTTTAATCTGTTTTCTTTCCCTTGGCTGGAAGTCTGAGCTCCCTCCAGTGCCGCCCTTTGCGTAGTTACAGCTGGGAGGGATGCGAGCGGGTGTCAGAGGCAGCTGTCCCTCTCCTCCTGCAGTCTGACCTTAGTTTTGAGGTTTCCTATGACCACCATGGCTGCTGGTAGTCGCTGCATACCATCTTTACAGTTTGTCCTTTGATGTCTGCCACCTTACCAGCCTGTAGTTGAGGTGGTGTCTATGCTTTGCAAATACCACAAGCACCACCTGCAAAATTGAACTGAACCTACCATTATTCCATCTGATGAAAAAGCATTACAGAAGAAAAACATGGTGTTTTTTTTTTTTTTTTTTTAAATGCTCCTGCTGTGTGAATGAGGAAAGTGCTTCATCTTGCCATCAGCACAGTGTTTACTTGGTAGTGAAGATTACCTCTAAACAAATACTTGAAAATGCTATCATGAAAGAACTTAGCTTTTGACAAATTCTGATTTTTCCTCTGCCCTTTGCATTTCTATGCTCAGGCTTGAAAAGTTATGTTTTTCTATTACTGTGAATGCCACTTAGCTTGTCAGTCATCTGCAAAACAAGTGTGCACAATAAAGCAATGTGAATTTTTTTTACATCAGTACCCATGAAAAACATTTGAGGAACAAAAGTGTTTGTTTTCTGTACTTTGAGATCCTCAGCTGGTGCTGGTAGCTCTGAAGTCAGTTATGCCACCTCAGAACCAACTTCAAAATTGCAAGTGTTAGTGCAAAGAGCAGGCACTGTGAAGCATCCTTTAAATACCACATGGAAGAAAATATATTAAGTTCCCTAAAAGATCCATACTACAAAAAATGGTCCAAGGTAGTATTTTGCTTCTTTATGCTTCTCCTTCCTCCCGTTCCCCTTTCCGTGATATCCCAATAACACTGTATTCTTCGTTTTTTATCTTGAGGAGAGTGATACCTCAGAGCTGTGTGATGGCAGTGCAGTGGCTTATATCCCATGGAGCTGGATCATAGTGTGTCACTGTTTCTTTGGTTTCCAGTGGATTATGTTTCTAATCCCAAATGTCTACATACAACAGCGTTCTTGTGTCTGATGGCTTTTCCGCCTTCCTTTCTATTGAGGGCATGATCTTAATTTTTAATGAGTTCCTGAAATACAAACCGTCTGTATGTGTTGAAGGCAGAAAAGAGAAAGAGGTTGAACTTTCAAGTTCAACTGAAAATTTAAACATTCCCTTGACATTTTCTCTCCTGTGGTAATCCACCTATTTGGTACCACTTTCTCTTCTGTCAACAAAACTGGAGTAAAACTTTGAGGATTACTGTGAAACTTTCCTTACATGAGGCTTCAGATTGATAAAGAAGGAGTAGAACTCCATGAAATTAAATTCATCAAACTACTTTTTGCTTCCCTTTTTGCAAAGCTCCCTTGTTTGCCAAATACAATGCCAGTTACGCTGAATGTAGCAGTTTAGCAATGTTCTCAGCTCTTGGTAATACACTTCCAGCAGAAAATGCATACTGACTTTTTTTTGTACAGTTTGTTCATGCCTACTATTTTTATTCATTGACAGAATATTGTGTAGTGCCTAATGATGTGTAGTAGTATATTAATTAATATTTATTGATAATTAAGATTCTATAATTTTTAAATGAAACTGAAGATAATATTGTACTGAGGTCCTCAGATATCAACATTCCCTTACTGGTCTTCCAGAAGTGTAAAATGGTCCTAGGAAGTATAGTCTAATTAATGACGCTTCGTAATTTATATTGCCTATCAGTGTAATCATTAACCCAAGACTTGCTCCACAATGTTGTTGCAATCATTGTTTTTATTTTTTTCCCTCTTAGCATTTGGGTACAGCTGAATTATTTATGAAATTACTATTCGGTATTTCAGCTTCTCTCCAGTTCTGTCAGCTCTCGCTTTGAAAACTGCTTTTTAATCTGTCTTTCTCTCTTTTAAAAAAAGCCTGCTCGAACTAGATGGTGGCTTTAGCTTTTCAGTTTGGAAATTTGGGAATTTTTTTCTTTTATTTTTTTTAAAACAGTTTATTGTATTGTAATCGCTAAGTAAGTAGCTATAAATTATAATATTTTGAAGAGTTTTTAGAATGAGAAGCATCGTGTATACAAATCTTTAAATATGCAATCTCTGAAAGACATCTGTTCAACTGGTGACCAGAAGAGTGAACAAGATTACTTGTTTTCTAGACCTTTACTTATATGTCAGTTGGTTAAGAGATAAGGACTTCCGATTTCCATGTAAATACTAGATCTTTCCTTGAGTAATAAAGAAATTCTGTGATTATAGAACCAGATTCACAGATGTAAAACAACAAGAAAATAAAGCTCAATATGAAAATGAACAAAAATTAATTTAATTCCTGTTTTAGACTCACTTTCCACTGAGTCTGTGGAATCACATCAGTGGGAGAGTTTGGTTGGGTCCCCTTGGGCACTTCTGGCTGATGCGCAAGTTCCTGATTTCCTCAACATGTTACATTTCACCCACAGAATGTTTTTGTCATTCTCTCACAAACTGTACACAGATGTGGCATTGATAGTTGCAAATATATACAGAAATGTTTGTGTTCCAGCAGTGCCTCGAGGTGTTAAACAGGTGGCATTTCATCCTGCTACATACCATAGAGAACATTGTTTTTGCCTTTTTAATAAAAGCTGTCTGGCTTAAATGTAATGTAAAAATGGAAGGTAAAAAACCCCAAGTAGTAGAGCTGGAGGAAGTAATCAGTATATACAGTCTTGCTGTAATAAAATATGGGCATAATTTTGCCAGTTCAAACCATGCTAACATTCTTTCAAAATGAATTAATAAATTCATATGAAATACTTGAATACTATCATGCATTTAGATAAACAGTCATGTAACCATTGAAGTGATTTTATTAGGTAACTGTAAATACTTTGTGCATTTTTGCTTCACGGCTATCTTGTATACTTGATATTTCTGCCATGTGAAAGTCTGAGAGGCTGGTACAAGGGATGCCACGCCTTGTACTCTACCTGTGTGTGTAAGGGTTATTTGGTTCATGCTTATTTTCGTTTCAGGCTTCTTAGGGAGCTTGTAGAGTCTCTGTTACTGAACACTTGTAAGAACAAGTAAGAGATACCTGTTGGCATATACCTAGGTCTATTTTATCTTGCTTCAGGGCAGAGAATGCACTAAACACCTTCTTGATGTCTGTTGGGCCTAATTTGTCTGGTATTTAATCTGCCTGAAGTGGTCAGCTAAAAGCTTGCTGGTAAATAGTTTATTAAGCTGAGAAACTGTAATTGAATTTATTTTTCCTGAAGTATTCACTGAATGTTACACACTAGTTTTTTCTACTGATGATAATCACTTAACTGTTTCTTGAAAATTTCTTCATTAATTCACCTGTGTGTGAGGAAGACAAAAATCACTTGCTTGTTGGTGTAGAGCATTTTGCTAAAAGAGCATGTAGGCCCATGCAGGGGGGTGTACATTCCTGCTCTAGTTTCTGGATGTGCATGATTTAATTAATGGATTGGCTGATAACAGGGTGACACTTTCTTAAAAAGGACAGTGTGGCAAATTCCTGGCACGCTCACTGAATTATAATGCTTTAGAAGGGTCACTGAACTAGTTAAGAAATATTCTAGGTGCACTCATCTGTTGCTCAGTCAGAGGAATTCTGCAGGATGTCTGTGTACCCTGACTGGAGCTGCTCAGAGGTAGATGGAGACACACTATTGGTGGTGTCACTTTTGGCAATATGTAAAACTCACTGGAATGCCTGAAATTACCTTTCCATGTACTTCTTTTCCATTGCAAAGATCGTCATGATTTCTTAGGTCATGATGGAATGTGTTGCCCCAAGGACTGTTCAGTGAGGTCTCCTAAACAATGTCATTAATTTGGTCTGTCCTTTGTGAAATGCTTAGGTTTCTGTAAAGAGAAAAGAGCGCGGTGGCCTAAGAACAGTTGTTTTCAATTTCTTGAAAAGGCTGAGAAATGTGTTTCAAAAGCCGTGAAAATAATATTGTGTGTAAGTAATTGATAGTTATGCGCATTGGGAACATTTTTATTTTTTTTTTTAACTATTGCATCTCAAGCCACAGCAATGACAATGATCCCCAAAGCAGGAATTAGTAAGGTACAAGGCTTTTGTGTAGTACTTTTCAACTCAAGATCAGAGGAGCGTGCAGAAGAGCTGCTGCTGACTTTTAGTGCTACCAAAGTAAATGTTATTTTAGTTCTACTGGCATACTCCCGAAAAGAAGCTGCAAACAAAGTTACGTTGGTTCAATAGGATTTTAGAAATTTTATTATGGCAAAAGAAATATGTAAGTTAGATTTTAGTTTGTCTTACCCAAAGCATTCACATCCACTTTATCCCTTGCCAGGGAAAAAACCTTTAACTGCTTTGTGTTTTATTTCTTATTTACTGGGTTGCATTCCAGAGTTGCTGTGGGGATTGCTGTTGTAAATGTCATTGGTGGCCATGTGATAAGGGAAGCGTAACCTCCCAGAGTCTTTGGTAAAAGTTTTCTCCCTTTCTCAAAAGAAATTTAACAGGCAGTTAAAAAGCAGAGGCTGTGAAAACCTTCAGGCCAGGCAAGTATGGGAAAGAGAAAGACAGAGCAGCTATCACTCAGGGCTGGGTGTGGGTGGAAGGAGGAGGACTGGTCCCCTCGCAGAACAGCCCTAGAGCTAGGGGAACCAAAAGATGATGAAGCTGAGAGTCAAACAGGATCATCCTTTGAACCTTCTGGGCTTATTCTGATTTAAGCTGTGCAAGGACGAAGGGTAGTGTGTAGCTAAAAATTGAAATTGCTAGTTGAAATTGGTAGATTGGTTTAAAACAGATAAAGTACATTTTTGTACAGTGGATATTGTACTGTATAGGCTTTGTAGCATATGACTACCAAGACAAAGCTTCTAATAA